CTGAGCGACACAGGCACGCACACCAACAACTTGGTGGTGCCTCTGTTCCTTTGTGAGGCGTTTGTGTAATGCCTCGGTTAGGGGAGGAGAGGGGAAGGGCTGCTCCAAAGAGCCAGATGGAGCAGGAGGGTGAAAGAGAGCATGTGCTTGAGTGCAGGAGGGGAACCCAAGCGAGTTATCGGGCCCCTGGGACAGCCAGCATGAAAGTTGCCCCGGTCAAAATCCCTCCGCTGGCAGCACAGTGAGTCATTGCTCCTGCACAGGGATGGGCACATGGAGCGAGCGGCAGCACACTGCGCTATGGGCAGAGCTCACATGCAGACAGCTCTCTCTCACTGGCACACACGTACACTGGCACGCGGAGATAAAGCAAAGCGTTACCACTAGCTGAAAAAACACTGTGGTTTGTGCATGCACGCCCGCCTCCTATCTTGATGAAATGTGTCTTTTAAAAATATGCAAACGATATGCGTGCACGTGTACCTATTAAAGCACTTTCTTCCCCTGGTGAAAGGCTGCCTGTAAAAACACACCAAGAGTAAAGGGTTTGTGGAGGCGCCGGAAGATGATGGTGCATTTCTGAATTAGGTTTTAAAACTTCATTTTGCAGCTACCTGAAGTGGAGACAAAGCTGCCTTTAGGCACCTGAAACTAGTCAGACCTGCTGTAGCAGTTGTACAGTTTGCTTCAAATATGCCCTCCACGCTCCTTTCAACCTCCACCCCAACATATATCCGCATAGTTTACCTCCAATCATGGGCGGTTCTTTCTATAGCACAGCTCGCTCACCCTCACCGCCTGCCTGGCACGACAGGAGGTTTCAAAGGACTGAAGTTACAGGCAGCTCTGCAGGGAACCTCAGGGACTGCTGAGGAAGGAGCTGATAATTGTCGTATTTCCATCAGAGGCGAGCGTGGCTCCAGAGGCACAGAGTTTCTGGGGGAGATCAGGGAGTGATAGAACAGCTTTACTCATTGGACATCACCCAAGCCAGCTTTTGGGCCAGTTTATGTCTTCACAGCTAGTCAGGGTTCCTTTGAAAAAGGAACTTCTTTCTTCTGCTACTTCCATATACCGCCCAGTTTTAAAAATAACATGAAAGAAAACAACCCACATTTGCACTTTTCTTTTTTGTGTTCTTAACATACTGGAACACATTTTTATTCGAACTTCCCTGGAAGCAGAAGCTGTCAGATGAAATCTAATACGTCTTACCAATGTGAAAGCAAGGTAAACAAGCTTCGGCTCCTAATAATCACACAAACTGAGAGTCGTGCCATTCAATGCCACTTCAAACTCAATCCCAGTGTAATTTAAATGAGAAATTCCTCATTATGCCCACCACTTGTCAAGACACCAACTGGGTTATATAGGTTGGCAACTTCAGATGTCACAGCATCATAGAACGGCTTGTGTTGGAAGGGACCCTAAGGATCATCATTCCAACCTCTCTGCCACAGGTGGGGCTCCAGATCTGGTACCAGACCAGGTTGCCCAGTGCTCCATCCAACCTGGCCTTGAACACCTCCAGGGACGGAGCATCCACAGCCAATTCATTGAGAGCAGCACTACAGAGAAAGACTTAGGGGTTCTGGTGGTTGAAAAGCACAGTGTTGTATGGCAATACCAGCCATTACGTACCATGCAGGGCAGAGGAGTGACTGCGGACCTTCACTGGGGGATAACAGCTGGAACTCACCTAACACAGGGCCCCATATTGACAGCTCCTCTGACATGCTGTGCTGCTGCCTCCATTGTGCTGGCCAAGCCCTGGCCCCAGTGAAGGGACAAGCAGGAGGCAAAAACTCACTCTTCTGGTGGCTTTGTGGCTCCTCCAGGCCTCTCCAGCACCTTGCTTCTCAGCACTGACTCCAGCCACTCCTGCTAGTCTTCAGGAGTGCTCGCTCTGGTGGAGGCCATCCCAGCTCTCCCTGGGAAATGCCCTCGAAGCGGCTCTTCCCCAGGCAGGAGTTCCCCTTCGAGCTGGAGGAATCTCCCAGCCACAGGTGGAGCACACCTTCACAGGTCCTCCCATCCTCCTCGTGGTGACAGAGCATCTCACATGCTCACGGCAACCGACTCTGCCAGTCTCTGCGTCGTTTCTATTCCATGCAGCAGGGAGGGCACAGCCCTGCCACCTGCCAGCCACACGCCTGCTTTCAGCTTTCAGCTTTCTGCTCCACTCCAGGGCACCCAACGGCACAGTTAGTGCTGCATTTACAAGGTTTGCTTTCCCTGCTTGTGTACAACAGTCAGCTTTGTTGTTTTATTCTCTTTTTTTTTTTTTGTGTGTGTGTGTGTGTGTGTGTGTGTGTGTGTTTGCACTGGTAATGCTGAACAAACCAAAAAAAACCTGAAGCCTCCACTCCAGCAAACACAAGGACTGACTTTGTTTGTAAAAGAATTAAAGAACTACCACGTGTCGGAGGGTCCCTCTCCACGTACAGAAAGCAGGCACTTCTTGAAGGCAGCACAGCCCTTGAGACCGACAGAGATCAAGAGGCAGCCAACGTGCACTGCCTGGCCCTGAAGGAAGTCAGCGCTGCTCTCAGCTCGGCCAATTCCACCTGCTCCACACCGTTCATTAGCAGGGGGTTCGGTGTGTGCCGCCAGCCTGCCTCCATTTAAACTGGACCTTGCTCCCTCCTTCGGTGCGCTCCTGATCTTTGGACCTGGGAGCTGGAAGCTGCCGTTGCTGGCACTGATTGGTGCGTGTGTGTGCTGAGGAGCTGCTGCAACCGGAGCCGGCTCCTCCTGAGCCGCCTGCGCACAGCCAGCTTGGGAGAGGGTGCATCTCTGCAGCCTTACAAAAAGCAGATCACCAGCAAACTACTTACACTTCCAAAGCACCGCCTTTCCCCCCGCTTGACAGGTTACACTTTCAGATGTTACATAAAAGCAGAAATAGTCACAAGTATTTTGGATCACCTGTCTGGTGCGAGCGCTCGTGGAGAAGAACTGTGCCAGGAGTGTTTTACATCAGCGTGAAAGAAGTCAGAGTTCCTGAATGTAGAGTATCGAATTGGAGGGCTTCCTTGGTAGTAATGCATGGCCTTAAACTCCTCCATGCCTCTCAGGCAGAGGACTGGAACGCTTAGATTTTTTAGGCTATTATTTGCACCTAAATGCTGAGAAATGGTGGCATTACTTTGTCTTTTCCATAGAAATACAGCAGGTGTATAAAGGAATATAATTACACTTCTTCATAGATCAGCACCTACAGACGTAGTTCATGCTCTTCAAGGCTACTTGAGACAAAACCTGAAGTACCTACGGCTAGCAAGTTTCTTGTTTGTTTTTAATCAGCTTCAGAGAAACAGAAATCAGCCTGACATAAAAAATCAAAGTCGGGTTTTACATGCACAAAGCCTGGCTTCATTTGTTAGCAGTCCAATCCAGTTCCTGCCCAAAAGGAGTGGGTGGATTTTACTACCAAACTTAAATGGAAGTAGGAGCAGTCACGAAAGGAGGAAGATCTCCAGCTGTTACTTCAGATGCTGCAATGCTTGCCTGGACAATGGAAGAATTCCCTAGGATGTGCTCTAATATACCTATCTGGCAGCACAAATTGCTCACCCTCCTCCTATCTCAAACACCACCACAAGCACATTACGTTAAATCAGATACAAAAGATACCAGCTTCTTCTGTGGAAAGGTGTGCATTTTAACTTTAGGCAGAAAAAGCAACTTCTAACTCACCCTGCCTAAACGACTGCTTCATTTCTAAGGTGAGACACGGAATAATCAACAGCAACTTCACAATTCATTGCTGCTTTGCCATTGCAAAGGCTTCCCCTGCACTTCTGTGCGTCTCCAACGCATTTGGAGAGAGTATTTTATACAGGTGAGCCCCTACAAGTGGGAATAGAAAGGCAGTCACTGCCTTTTCAACTCACACCGATAGGAAGCGTTCGCTCCTACACACAGCAGAGAGCTGATGTTAGGGGGCAGCCGAGCCCTCCACCACCATTGTTCGAGCAATAGCACGTCCTGCAGTGGCCAAATCCAGCACCCTGCGACGGCACAGAGAGCCACCGTGCCGTCCCCGGGCACCCGTTGGAGAAGCCTGCGCTTCCCTGAGCAGGGAGTTTGCACTTGTCTGAACACGGGCTGCCAAACAGAGCCGCGACATGCTGTGCCCCGCGTCGGGTGAGGGGGCCAGCAGGTGAAACGGGCACGTTCGTTTCACGTTACAGCCGTGTCACTGCCAATTAGCCAGCGAGGGGCTCAAAGGACAGCGCAGGAACCTCCCCACAGATTTCCAACACAAGCGCCCCGGAGTTTTCCAGATGCGCTCGTGAAAGCGCAAAGAAATAACAGCAGGTAACCGCACTCCTATTTCTGCTCTTAAGGAGAGCTCGTCCTTCCACGACCGACACACCGACACGAGCGAGGCAGCGAACACCCTGAACGAGAGGGGCACCGCAAAGAAGATTTTGCTCCAAGACCCCCCCCCCAACCCCCCGGCGCTTCCCCCGCAGGAAGTCACAACGAACACACCGCTTTCCAAAGCCGAACAACCCCTGTCCACGACCTCCCCCCACCACCTCCCGCTCCTCTCGGCTGCGCTATCAGGGAGCGTGGGGGGGAAGCCCCGCTAATCCCCTGCCCTAACGCAGCCCAGAAGAGGTGCAGGCATGCCCGGCCATATGTCAGCCTCGCTCCGGCACAGCACAAGCTCTCACGTCGCCCGGCTCGCCCGCCGCCACCCTTCGGTGCCCCTCAACCCCCCGCTCGCTCCCGGTGAGGCTGCACCCCTCCGGCTGTCGGGACGCGCCGCGGTCGCTCGCAGCGGGATGCGACGTACTTTTTATCGATTAAAAGTGCACGGAGCCTCGCGCACCTGCCCCGCGCCCCTCTCCGGCCGGAGAGCGGCTCTCGGCACGGCACGGCACGGCCCGGCTCCGGTGCGGCTGCAGCGGGGACCCGCCGCCGGCAGCGCGCAGCCCCGGGGGCCGCCCCACGTCCCCCCACCGCCGCCCCCGGCCCCGCTCGCTCACCACATGCGGCTCCAGCCGGCAACTCGAGCACGCGGGGCGCCGGCTCTCGCCCCTCACAGCAGCTCCATATGGCGCTCCCGCGCTGCGCCGGGGTGCGGAGGAGGAGGAAGAGGAGGAGGAGGATTTAAGCCTCCGCTCGATCACGCAGCATTATACAATGGAGGAGGAGGAGGGAGGAGGAGGAGGAGGAGGAGGCGGGAGCAGCCCCGGCTCCAGCCCTTGCCGCCAGCGCTGACGCCAGGGGCGGCTCCGGCGAGCTCCTCGCCCTCCGGCCCGCGTCACGGCCCCGCCTCACCCGGCCTTCCTCCCCCGCCTCCCTCCTTCCTCCTCCTCCTCGTCCTCCCCCACGCGTGCCCGTGCCCGACCCGCAGCCCCGGCGGCACCGCGCCTCCAGCGCTCGGACTCCGGACCGACAGAGCTGGAAGAGCCGCCGTAAAGGCGATGCGCGCTCCTTGCTATGGCTTAGGCAGTAGGCTCTGAAAGTCCCGTAGCGATTTGGGATCAATCGAGCTGAAGGCCAAGCTAGAGACAGAGTTCCACGTCCAAGCAGAAGACTGAAAAGAACGGTGCTTGCACACACACACACAAAAAAAGATCACTTAAAACTGTATTATACAGGTTTAAGAGTACACACACATATATACCCTTAAAATGACAACTGAAGGGACCCCATACAGCTGGGATTTAAAGCACTGAGGCTGCTATTTCCTACCACTGACGCCATAAGTGTGGCCCCATCTCACCTCTCCTCAGAGTTCTGTCCCCAGTAAGCAACTCGGTCAGCAGGAAGCAGAAATTAAAAGCAGGGTTTCCCCTTGCTGGATACCTCCCAGCAGACAGGTGCGGAAATTCAGCAAGCAAGACTTCCAAAACTATAGTCAGCGTTACCAAAAGTCACTAAATGAAAGGAAAAGCTTCATTTTCTTTAGGAGACCAGTGGCTCCTGCCCAGTGAGCTTCAGCCTTTTCAAAAGACAGCCAGAACAGTCTGATGTTCATCAGTTTGTGGTTTTTTTGAAGCCAAATGTCAGGGTCACGTTCTGCACCCTTCACACTGCTGAGTGGGGGGGGACAACTGCAGCAATGGCTCTGAGATCTCCCTGGCATATTTAAGAGCAGAATTAAGCCTTCTGTAGTTTACAGTCCCGTAAATCCTGACCCCTTTGCTCACTCAATACAATACTACATTTCCCCCCCCCTCCCTTGAGAGTTCTGATATGGGCTGTATAGACCTTCCCCCATTTGTTTTGGTGGTTGCTCTGGACAGTGACAGATCCCACAGTGGGATCTGGCTGTGTGTAACCGTGCTGGGGACACATGCAGCCCAGCAGTGCCTGCCTTCTGGAGCTCAAAGTCCACAGCAGTCTTACGGCCGCTTTGCCTGGGTGTGTGCATGCTATCACCAGGGCTATAGGCATAACCACAAACATTTGCTAAATAAGCAGCTGGGCTCTACTCTGACATGCAAGGCCTCAGTCTTGCCATGTAATACTTGGCAGCAAAAGGCCCAAGCCTTTACCAAAGTGTGAGCTGTGAGCACTTGTGACTTTGCTAGGTTGCTCCAATTTTATGCTAGTCTAAGAGAAAACTCACCACCCCTTCTGTTTCCTACTGTAACTCCCCTGGGCCTTTCTTGGCAGGAGTTTACAGTCACACTGTAACTCAGATCATTCCTCCGAACACAACGAGTACAACCTGCATCCACGCTCAGAAGCACTCTCAGATGAGCACAGGTCACAACACGAATCGATCCGAGCGGAGTTCCTGCCTTCACTTTGCTGCGTCCTCCTCTAGGATGAGGTAAGGCAACACAGCAACAATCCTATTGCTGATTGCAACTCCCGTGGCCTGCAGTGGGGTTTCAGGAGACCTTTCTGGCTGGGAAGCTCAGCTCCGCAGCAGTCTGGCCAGGAGGTATCTGCAAGGCCCAGCAATTTGCCCAAACATGTCAGTGAGCTTAGAAACAGCCTGTGCCTGAGCCATGAAATGTTGGGCAGGGAAGTGAGTTGGCAGAGGCTCCCAGAAACCACAGGAGCTGGGGGAAAAGCCTTCAAGGGGCAGGCCATTGAGCTGCTCGCATAAGAGGGTACAAACTACATGGGAAGGAACCAAATTGTGTTTCTCTGTAGGGTTCTGACCTGACACGAGCCACAGGCACAGCCCAAACACAGTGCTGTCTTTGAGAAATGACAGAGTCTGCCCAGGTCTCCTTTAGAGCATTCAAAAGCCATCCTGTATTAAGCATAAATCAATTAACAGACAAATTAAAGATTGGGGGGGGGATAACAGACACAAGACTTCCTAGGGCAATTCATTAGAAATATTACAGATGGCCAGGTAATCTCTGGCTATCAACATGAGTGCTAATTAGGAAACGGGCAATCTTTAGTGCACTGGGACGTCAGCATCTCTCAAGTTGTTCAAAAAAGAGAAAAAGAAAAAAGAAAGACACAGTGAACAGTTTCCTCAGTTTCTAATTGCATCCCTGGCCTTTCTAATCGCAGTACATATTAAGAGTTTCACCTGGTAATTTTAAGAACAAAACATCTTGACTCCCTCCCTGGATGCTTTGGCATTAGTGCACACAGGGTGTGACAGAGAAGTATCTAACACTGCCCCCCAGCAGACAACTTCTTGCAAAGCAAGACCCTACCAGCACCAATAACTTGGGAAAAGCTAACCTAGGGGCCTGCCTACAGCCAAAGGTGCTCATCCCACTGGGTGCAGTGCCGTCCACTGTGCAAAACAGATCCCATGGGGAAGAACCACTCAGAGGGTGGTGATGCATTGGAACAGGCTGCCCAAGGAGGTTGTGGATGCCCCATCCCTGGAGGCATTCAAGGCCACGCTGGATGTGGCTCTGGGCAGCCTGGTCTGGTGGTTGGCGACCCTGCACATAGTAGGGGGATTGAAACCAGATGATCATTGTGGTCCTTTTCAACCCAGGACAGTCTATGAATCTATGGTTCTAAGCCCAAGAGTGAAGGCGTGAATTAAACATCATTAACCATCACAAAGCCTCAAGACATCCCCACTGAGCCCAGCTCAGGATCAATCATGGCCTTCTGGACGGAGCCGTGGCCAGGCGATGACAACAGCAACAGCAGTGGATCAGCAGGGAGAGATGCTCAGCAGCAGGACTGAGACTGAAGCACTAATGGTTTTCTTAAGCAAGGGTCAGTTGCAAATAAAAACAATCCACTCAGAAAATAAATAAATTAGAGTGCTGCATTACTGCAGTCACGCATCACCAGGGAGCTGAGCTGCACCTGTGGAAAGCTGTGTTGCTTTGCTTTAGATTTCAGTTGGCTTCTGTTTTTTTTTCCTGCTGGTGCAACTCATCCACTGTAACAAGGCTGCCACGCACGTCCTGAGGCACAGAGGAATCAGTTGAAACAGAAGGAAGGAATGCTCCCCCTTCTCACTCCAATTTTAGCTTTTTCTTTTTTATTTCTTCTTAAGATTTTCTGCTTTAGTTCCTGTTTTTCTCCTCTAATGTTCCTGTGGCAGGAGGAGAAACATCATTCCCTAGAATGCATAATATGCTTAATTATCATTCTCTGTTAGTTCTCTAGGAAAAAAAATAACAAACAACTACAGGAGAAATCAGTTTAATTAATGAGCATGACCAAATGCAGCCTTACTTCTAATGCAGTATCATATATTTCATGTCCAATTGGGCAGTTGGTCTTACTTAGGTAAAATGAACAGATATGCAAAAACCACGGAGCTCATGAATCAGTGTTCTGAGCACAACTAACCTCCTCCGTGTGCTTATTCTAAAACTTGCTGCAGATTTCAATGCCAACGTCTGTTCTTAAAAACTGTGGCTTCAAGTGGTGCAGGATCAGGCCCATAGAGTCTAGTAATGTAAAGCTGGGGCTTGGCAGGACCAAGGGCTGTGCCACATGGGGAATTCATTAAGGAATTAAAGAAAAGCAACAAACAACACCTTAACTAAAGTAGTTATACCTGGTAAAAAACCCCAGAGCATTTCAAGGACAAGAGGGGCAAGGTTTTGTCTGAAAGAGAGACTTCATGATTTGAACGCTTTGCAAAAGGGCTGCTACTCTTCAGGTATTAAATTATTAAGGAAATATTATGGAACTGGATTATCAGGAAAGAAAAAAAAAAAAAAAAAAGCAACGTGCATTAGCTGGCTTAGTCAGAGGAGGTTTTGCTGCATTCCTCGTGCACTGAGATGACTCCCTCCCTCTGTAATTCCCTGAGCACTCCCAGTGCTCTGGAGTCTGCTGGTGTGCATCATCGTTGCTCCAGCTGAAAAGCTCCGTCCCCTGACAAAGTGTGCACTGCCTGCCTGCCATCACCAGCTACTCACACATCTTTCTGCCTTCTCACAGACATCCTTGTTCTTTCCCATATTCTGTTCAGGCTGCATCTCTGGCGAGATGTGCTTTGCTGTGGAGCCAGGCCGTGCTGTTCACACCAAAGCTGTGCAGCACACCGGATCCTCAGTCAGCCCCTGCTTTGCACACACGCTTCTGGAGATGCAGTGGACTGTGCTTCACATTGTGTTAAGTTTTAAACAATCTGGGGCTGTGAAATGCTGCTTTTTTATTTCTCCTTTCAGTGCTCGCTCTCAGCCTCTCCAAGGCACAAGCCATTCTCTTCTGGAACACTTAGTTACTTCTCTGAAGAGAGGCTAGGTCGATACTCTGATACTCATCTAATACTGGGGGCCAGTACATTAAGAGAAAAAAATCCATGGATAGAACTGAAGGCTCTGTTTTACAACCAAGAGGGAATACTTCAAATAAAGGAAAACAACAACAACACAGAAGCAGGGGGGGGAAATTCAGAGAGATGGCCGGTCTTCGGGCCTAATTAACCACTGGTGTAAACAGATGTCACTGAAATCAAGCCAGAAGCCTTAGGCCACCCACTGGTCTCCTGCACAATCCCAACCTGATCCTGAAAACCTCCACAACACAGGGCTGTCCAACATGAAAGCCACACGTGTGCCTCATTAGCACAAAGGGTGCCACCACGTCTGTAAGGCTGATGGATGCTCTGCTCCCCGTTCCCCACAGGACAGCAGCTCCTCCAACCTGGCTTCACACATGGCAGCTCCTTTTCAGAAGCCGAGCTCTGCGTGGAGCCATGCATTTCTGGAGTGCAGACATACCCCGCTGTCTTCTTAAACACATCTGAAACCTGGAAGAAGGTTGTCTGTCTGCATAGGCATGCTGGAATACGTTTAGCACTGCTCAAGCTTGTTGAAATGCCGATGGCTCGATAGACCAAACGGGGCCACCAGCAGGTGACGAGAGGCTTACAGACGTGGAGATTCCTGCTCAGATGTGTGGCATCAAAGAACAGTGCAGCAGTATTGGGGTGTCTGAGGCTGTGATGGCGCAAGCTAAATGGTGTCGTAGCTATGGTGTTGATGTAGGATGATGCAGTGCTGCAAATCTTACATAGCACTTAAAACTACTGGAGTCACTGGAGAATAATATGCTCGTGCTCAGATGCATTACCGAGGGGAAAAAAAGAAAAAAAAATGTTTCAGCCCTTACTTAAATGAAAACACAAGTTAGTAGACTGACATCCAATCAAATGCACCTATTCTCAGCAGCTTCTGCTGGCAGACTGGTACAGCACATGAAGCTCCTATACCACGTGGAGGGCTTGGGCATTTCCAATTGGCTTTGTAGAACCACTCGGTTCAGCAGTGTTTACCAAGTGAGATATGGGGATTTTCAGGGTGATCCAAACTTGCAACAAGAAATCCTTCCAACTGTCCCAGATGCAGCATTCTTCACAGACAGTGGTAATCTGAACTCCTTTTAGACAGACAGCCTTCTAGGAGTCTAATTTTAGGCAGCAAGTGACCTACACAATTTCTTCTAGAAAAACCCCAAACCCCAATAATACAGTAGAATTTGCAGAGTCAAATTTAGATGAGAAGAAAAAGAAGCCAGGAAAAAAAAAAAAAAAAAAAAAAAAAAAAAACAACCAGCAACTATCACAAGAACATCAGATGTAGCATAAACTCCTACTGCCGTTCTGTTCCACTACGAATAAATGAAGACCATCTAGAACTGAACTCATTGAGTCAGTGCAATGAATGCACAAATCTCTCTGTTTTAACCCTTCACAGAATGCATGAATTCATTACTCATGTGCAAAAAACAGATCTGTAAAAAGAGGGAATGGTCATATCTGATGCTTGTACTGACAATGTAAGTGGAAATGATTCATTTGCTCTCTCTGCATTCCCCCAGTTCCCTTACCAGCACGAGTCAGCAAATGCCTGTATTGTATGTGCACGTAAACAGACTGTGGGTGAAGCCTGAGCTTCTCAGCCTTGCCTAAAACTGTCCTGTAATGGGCAGAAAGGGATGTTAGCTTATTAAAGAAAAAGGGAATGGTACAGGCTCATTTATGTTCTCTCCAAACCTTTTTTACGTTCTCACTTTGAAGGAAGCTCTTCGTATAGTGACCATTAGCCAAAGGCTAAGAGAGATTTACACCTACTCGGTATTCCCAAGCAAAGATAGATTAAAGCCTTGCAAACCCCACCCAGTTCTCCTGGAATGTCACCAGGACAAAGAAGAAAGCCAAAGATCCACCATTGTTCATCCTCTCACAGCCCTCACTTGCTCTCTCCCTCTTCTCAAAGTGACTTCAGAGAGCCAAAAACTGGCTCTGGGAGAGGGGTGAGGCAGCCCTCCTGCCTGCTTACCCCCATCTCTCTCCTCCAGCAGTATCTGACAGCGTTTGAAAGAAGAAAGAAGCTATGCTACAGGCAGGATGGCAGAGTGTTGGGAAAGCCAGCTGAAGTCCACAGCAGCTGAGACAGCGACTTCTTCTCCCAGCCAGCACAAGGGGATGGGCAAAAGGCTTCCAAAGTCCTCTCCTTCAGAGAGATTCCTTCAGAGAGATTCCCTTTCCTGCAGAGCCCCAGTTTTTCTAACCAGCTGCCATCAGTTTTATTTGCAGGAGGAAAGATGTGAGCTGCTGTTAGGGTGCAGGCAGCCATCACTCCTGTCCCACAACCTGTGTGCAGAAGCAGGAGCAGCCTGTTGTTTCCCAGGAAGGCACCAGCCTCCTTGCAAGAGCCAACCAGAAGTCAAAACTCCTGAGAGAGCTCCCAGGCCTGGTTCAGCAAGGGTGACTGTCCATCTGCTATCTCGTGGCCTGGGGCATTTGCTAACCATCCACACCCAGGGGACATTCCTAGCATGATTCCTGCTAAACAAAAAAATCAGTAACCTCAGCCACTTTGCTTGCATTTTCACATTTATAACTCAGTATTGTTAACCTTCAGGTTAAAACTTCTTTTTCAACCTGTTCTTCTGCTCACTTTCCTTAGCTGAATGTTCAGCCCATGCCATGGGAGCAAAAGAAGAAGTGAAACGTATGTCAAAATGCTGATAATTTGACTCGACACATGTACACAAATGGTGTTCTCATGCAGGTCAGCAGCCAAAAACCTCTTCTTTCTGGCAGCGCTCAGCAAAGGAAACACTTTCTCATCAGAATAGCTGGGAACGTGCAAGTGCTTGCTGCACTCCTGCCATAATAATGGGGTCCATCAGGAGTGGCCCCTTTAAAATGCTGCATCTTTACTCTTAGCAGGGAGGAGGGAGACCAGGAGTTTGGTGGGTTTGTTTTGGTTTTCAAAACACAACAAGCCACATTTGTTACTGAAACGCCATCTTCCATGAGATGTTCAGGGAAAAGCCCTCAGCCCCCCAGCATGTTTTTGTTAGCTGTCACGGCTGATAAGGAGTGGAAAATGCATTTGTTGTTTTGAACATTTATCTAGCAAAGGTCCACCACAAATTAATGCAAGTGAGAAGATGTTGAA